ACCCCATTGGTGAAACCCACGAGCATGGTGCTGACAAACTTAGTAATCAGTGCGAATCTGGAATTCGAACCCGCGAGTATAGATCAAAGGGACGCAACTCTACACAGCGAATTGCAGCGGCTCAGACGACAAGGCCACCTGTGCCCCGATTGAAAGAGACACTGGTTTAAGGTAATATTGAGAGGTATATGTTCTCACAATAAGTAATCTACAAAAATGAAAATGTAAAAAAAGCGGACTGGCAGATATGAGTGTCGTCCGGAAATGAGCAATTGTTGACAACGATGCGGTCAGACGTTTAACATTTGGAGTCGGTCGTTTGTCCCCGGATGTGCTCATCATGTCATTAAACACGCGAGGGGTGGTGTGACTGTGGCTGTAAGAGAGAATGTGGAATCCGGCACATGAAAGTGTCGGAAAGGATCATGGTGACACGGCATTGTGACGGCAACACCGACAAAGGTCAAACTGTCAAAGATACGAAGGCGAGGTGGTTTAAACAACATGGGCTGAACTCGAACACGGATATTTAGCCCGGGGCTTTGACTGCGGAATATGTGCATTTAACTTTTAAAAAAATATTTTTGATGAAAGTAGGCATGTCTAGCTACAAATATTCCACAAATTAGCATTGAAAAAACAGATTAACACTTTAAGAGAGAAATTTATTGTGTAATAAAAGATTCATAGAAATATGTTAGGGTAAACATCTGCCAAATGAGTGAGTGAGTATGGTTTTACGCCGCTATCAACAACATTCCAGCAATATCACAACGGGGGACACCAGAAATTGGCTTCACAAATTGTACCCATATCGGGAATCGATAACGGGTTTTCGGCGTAACGAGCGAACGCTTTAACCACTAGGCTATCCGACCACCCCTTCTGCCAAATGAGGAGGGAGGGAGTTTGGTTTTAAGCCGGGGGGGGGGGGGGGGGGGGGGGGGGGACTTTTAGTAGAGATTTCTTGTCGTTATGGAAATGTTTTTTGTCGCTTGTATTTAATTAGACCCATGTGCACGGGTCTGGTGCTGACAAACCAAGTATCATAATAAGAAACCTATATTCGAACCCACGATAATTTGATTCCGGCACGCCAGAGGGACGCAACTTTGGAACATGTATCTAGCCGCATGTATGTACTTATATCTAACTTACACGGGATAAAAGGAAACAAAGTATAGTTAAGTAAGGATAAGAACTTATGGATGAACAACTTCTTCATTACAATTATGAGCGACGTTTCGGTGTTGGTTCTAACACCGTTATCAAGAAAGTGATATACTGAGTATAGTTGACAAGTATATATACAAGTAGGAGGCAATGTTTATACAGTCGAATATACTGGAGTGGAGAAGCCTGTCATGTACACACAAGGGTAGTAACGACAATCATCGGTGAAGTCAGTGACATAAACAAAGAATGAAGCCAGTAATATAAACAACAGGATTATGGCTGATTGAAATCTTTGATGAGTTGATGGTACGCCGGGAGTATGTATGTTCATCCATAAATTCTTACTTAGTACTCCAACTTCTAAATGCCTATCAAAGAAGTCAAAGTATAGTTGTCAGTCATGTTAACTTTGTAACAAGTATAAGTGATGTCGAAAAGGCTACAATATTTAATATAAGAATTTCTACATATGATACCCTAGCTGAGGGTTAACCTTAATTTTTCAGTTAAATCATGGCGTGTCGGCTTGATCTGGTCAAGTCCGAAGCGAACCACCCCTCGGGAAACCCACGAGCACGGGCATGGCACTGACATGATCACAATAAGGCTGAATTTTGGATTCGAACCCATGGGCAGCAGATTTTCACACGAAGGTCATTGACAGACAATAATCGAGGAAGAAATCAGTTTATGGTTGTTTGTAAAAAAGAGTTCTTTATATATAAATATGTGGAAATGGCGTTATATCAGATAATTTTATTAGTAATATCGGTGTCCGCCAAGGGTGTATATAAAGCCGATTTCTTTTTTCCTTTTTCATAAATGAATTATCATATCAAATCCAAAATATATGCACTGATGGTTACACCTACATCCCAAGCTATTACATTATTTTTTATTCTTTTCACTGATGATATAGTCATTTTATCAAGCACAATACATGGCTTGCAAAAGCAAATATATGTATAAGAGATATAGTGAAGGGTCACAGCTTACTGTTCATTTTCACAAAACCAAAGTAGCTCGTATGATTTATTTATTTATTGCGTGACTGAGTGAGGTTTTACGCCGCTTTTAGCAATATTCCAGCAATATCACGACGGGGGACACCAGAAATAGGCTTCACACATTGTACCCATGTCGGGAATCGAACCCGGGTCTTCGGCGTGAGGAGCGAACGCTTTATTTAAACAGGCAGATATGTTGGTATTTTAAGAGAACATAGACTTTTTTAAATTTGTAAGAATAGATAGACTGAAGATGAATATCACTTTCCAGTGTCCAGTGTACAGTGAATTAAATGCAAAACTATTTCTACCACTTTCCTAATGTTAACACCTTCTGTAAATCAATGACATGTGATTGTACAGCACCTTTGACCTCGTCAGTATTGTTTTTTATCACTGAGGTCAACCCATATATTTCTACATACTAGTTATTTAATCTAGATTCAGAAGCAGGATGGACTAGCTGGCTGGTCTTGAAGGACATCTTGATCTAAGTTTGACCTACGGTCATGGAGGAAAAAATCATGGATGGATGGCTGTAATATTTTACGCTTAACACGTGACAAGGTTCGGGTTGAAGTGTCGGTTAACCTCAGGGGTGATTAAGCACCCGAATGGAAAACCTGACGTACAGGTCAAAAAACACCTCTTCTGGTCATTAGAGGCCACTAAATGAATCAGGAGCTCAGGCTCGGTGTCTTGGTTGACTGCGTGTCAGTGTACGCGATGGCGTGGATGTTACTCTTAATAAAAAATATTCTTTGACCTCGACTTTCCAAACGCTGTCATCTAGTGGAAACATGGCGTTGGTATTGTACATTCATATATTAGCATGTGCTAATTTTATGCACCTGAAAACCTAATACAGGAATATTTGAATTCGACCTTTAGGTTGGTTGGTTGGTTTGTTGTTTAACGCCGCACTCAACAATAGTCCACCTATAGGACGGCGGTCTGTAAATAATCGAGTCTGGACCAGACAATCCAGTTATTAATATCATGAGCATCGATCCACGCAATTGGGATCGATGACATGCACCAACCAGGTCAGCGAGCCTGGCCAACCGATCCCGTGAGTCGCCTCTTACGACAAGCACAGTCGCCTTTCACGGCAAGCATGGGTTGCTGAAGACAGGTCACAGGTCCGACCTTTAGGAATCAATGTGAATTTGCAATGCGTACCTATGTAAATACGATATTTTGTAATCCAAGAGTGCCCAATGTAATACTTGTTAGGTTGGGGCAGTGGCAAAGGCAGTCATGCACGTGAAAATCCCGGTTAGAATAGTCTTCAGCAACCCATTCTTGCCGTAAGAAGCGACTAACGGGATCGGGTGGTCAGGCTTCTGACTTGGTTGATGCATGTCATCGTATCCCAATTTTGTAGATAGATGCTCATGATGTCAATCACTTAATTGTATGGTCCAGACTCGATTATTTACAGACCACCGTCATATAGCTTGAATATGTCTGCGTGCACCGTTTAACAACAAACAGACAATGAGTTGCATGACATAGTCATTATCACGTAGCTACCGAAGCAAGATCAGTGTATGTCAATATCAAGAGAGAAAACGTGGATCAAACCGCGCACGATTTTAGACTTAATCCACTGTTTTCATGTGTTTGTTGTTTGTTGGGAATTCAGAACTCCAACGCCAGCGAATAACTAATTTTTAAAAATATTCCCAAACAGATTTAATAGTGGGTAACAGGCAAAACACGAAGACACGTATGAGAAGTGGTGAGCATGTCCTGCTCTCCTGGCAGAACCCGCCACTCACACTATTCTTATTAAAAAATTAAGTGCCAGTATGTGAAACTCCATTAAAGGTCATAGTATGAGATAGCGTCACGCATCATGTTGACAAGCGATTTGCAAATTCCTCTGAATGTCTAACATATACTTTCCGGAATGACTTAATCAGACTTTGTGTGAGTGGCGGGTGCTGCGGGTAGAGCAGGACATGCTTACCTGTTTCACGAACACCTGATGTCCTCAATGGTTTTGGTGATCCACCCACATAGTTTTCACAGCTATATTACCCTTTACGTCAATTGGAATCTGTTCCGGCAGATAATCTGATATTTGTCTGGCGTTGACGTTTTATGTATTTGATGGTGAATAAACACTGATAGAAAAGCTCAGTAGTATGAAAGATGAAACATCACCGGAGACGACTCTGAGAACAGGTTCAGGAAGAAGCAATGGCGATATTTAAGACATGAAATGATGATTAAGACGTGGCACCGATGACCTCGCTTTGTTCAGCGCTGTGCTGTGTCGTGCCGTGCCGTACCGTGCCGTGCCGTGCCGTGCCGTGCGTCCATTAGATGACAGGATGTGTGTGATAGCTTTTGTGTTTCCCAGATATCAAAATACATTATTTTTATCTACCAACACCGCCTACGTGTTATTTGGGGTTTCACTGATATGGCAACCGTCTACGACCTTGACATACAAAGGTCATACAATGACATACAAAACATTAAGCGTGATGGTACATGTACTTAATTTATTTGTCATTCGACGCGTCCCTTGTGTTTTCTAATCTTTATTTTAGCTATGCCTAAATCGTATCATTATTATAACAACGCTGTAACAATATTCTCACTACTATCGTAAAATTCAGCAACCAATGCTTGCCGTAAAAGGCGACTATGCTTGTCGTAAGAGTCAGGCTCGCTAACTTGGTTGATGCATGTCATCGTATCCAAATTCTGCGGATCGATGATTATGATGTCAATCACTGGATTGTCACGTCCAGACTCGATTATTATTCAGACCGCCGTCATATAGCTGGAATATTGCCTAGTGCGGCGTTTAACAACAAACAAACTACTGTAAAACAATATTAATGATCGTTATTTGGCATTACAAAAAACACGGTGTCTGGCGACTGATACCTTACGCCAGGTTCTCTCGTGGTCCCTCCCCTGTGATGAAGGCTTAATGTCAAAGGGTCGTAAACTGTAAATTTTAATAAATTAAACAGCCGTTTATCATAGAATGTAAAAATATCTTCTCAATTTGGAGCATAATTGTTGCAATTTGTGAGTCAGAGATGTCACATTACCGGAGTCATTACTGTCAAATATACTGTTCTGTAATATTCCATTCATCTTCAAACTTCCAAATGCTTCACGTGGAATAAACCCCGTGGACACACATGTATATAATATACATCTACATGGTGGTACACTGACGACTGACACATAAGATCAAACTCGGCTTACACGAAGCGACATTGGAATAATCCCAGGCGGTACTACAGGCATAGAGTGCCATGATTCAAGTGGCGGCGAGTTGAAGATGGAACCATATGTTCACCCCGGCTGTACACGAAGTGACACAGGTATTATACAAGCACTTAGATCCACAATACAAGCGGTTGTGTAAGGAAGGTGACACAGGTATTATACCAGCACTTGGATCCACAATACAAGCGGTTGTGTAAGGAAGGTGACACAGGTATTATACCAGCACTTGGATCCACAATACAAGCGTTTGTGTAAGGAAGGTGACACAGGTATTATACCAGCACTTGGATCCACAATACAAGCGTTTGTGTAAGGAAGGTGACACAGGTATTATACCAGCACTTGGATCCACAATACAAGCGTTTGTGTAAGGAAGGTGACACAGGTATTATACCAGCACTTGGATCCACAATACAAGCGGTTGTGTAAGGAAGGTGACACAGGTATTATACCAGCACTTGGATCCACAATACAAGCGGTTGTGTAAGGAAGGTGACACAGGTATTATACCAGCACTTAGATCCACACTACAAGCGGTTGTGTAAGGAACATAGAACCCATCTGATGACACATTTCAAGCTTCATTCAAGGAATCTTTATGAAATTGAAAATGCATGTGACGCCTACTTGACCAGGTTCACGTTTTAACAAGTTCAACATAGCACCATGTTCACCGACATGAGGGAGTCTATAGAGACATAAATGCCATGTCCATGATTACCGTGACAGGTGGAAACATGTCGGATACAAACCGGTCGGTAACACTTGGAGAACTAAATGCCGAGAGGCGGTTACTCCTTCTACCTGTAATTGCAGTATTTTGTGTTGTCATGGCAATAGGAATTATCGGCAACCTATTGGCCATTAACGTTTATGGAAGAAGGTACCAGATGAAAGCCGCCATCTTGTTTATGATTATTTTGGCGGCCACAGATCTGTTGAGCTGTTCAATATGTCTACCGTTTGAGATTTACGACACTGCAAATCCATTTCTGAACCATTTTCCGATCCTTTGTAAACTTTTCCGATTCATTGAAGCATTTTCGAACACCTATTCTGGATTAATACTTGTATGTATTGCTTTTGATCGCTTTCACAATACCCGCTATCCTCTCAAGATGTCTTCCCTGGAACACTCAAAGTCTCTGGCGGCTGTAATGTGCGCGTTGGCAGTGGCTATCGCTTGGCCAATGCTGCTTCTTAGTGGAAACAAAACTATCCGTACTCGTATCGATGGGGTGACCGGAATTGACTGTTCAACGTCAGATATGATGTATCATTCAGTTTATTCACTATTGTTTCAAGGATGTTTAAGCTTGTTGTTTAGCATTTGTTTCATTGTATTTGTTGTGTTCTATGGCCTCATTGCTTTAACAGTTTGTAACCGTAGCTGTAGAACTATTGGTGCTGGCGTTTCTTACAAACAGCCAACTATGCCTGTTAGTCCAATGAGGAGAAAGAGGTTTGAGCAGATGCTGATAGCAAGAGCATTGAGTAGTATGAAGACTCCGATTGGCAAAACTAGGAGTAACATTGGTAAGATCCACCTACGCCCTGGGCATACAACGATGATGTTGAGTGTTATTACATTTTCAGGAATCATTGGTTATGTCCCTTACCTGACAGCGGAGTTCCTGCACTTCTCAGGTCAAAAGTTTCAGGAAGACATGAGTTCCACCGAGGTTATTATTTACAAAATATGTAACAATTCTTACTTTCTCAGTAATGCAATGAACCCTATAATATACAGTATTCTCAGCCCACACTTTCGGAGGGAAAGCGTTGTATGTTTGAAACGTATTTTCCGTTGCAAATGAAAAGAAATATACAGGTGTATGACTAAGATAAATGTCTATAGAAGAAGTAGGTAGGATTGTGACTGCTTTACCTTTATATACAAGCAATGTTATTATGAAACTGGTTCTTCAGCTTTATGTGGAAAGAATTAAAAAAACGAACCTTTTGCAAAATATTATTTATCATAACCAAGACTTTTCCTATCTATGTGTGTTGATGCCTGACACGATGGTTGTTGGGAGAAAACATAAAAAAACAATTTAAGAAACCGTGAAAATATTAATCTCCCAGTTTCACACACAAGGTCTCATTTAACATCATATTTCCCTTCAAGCATTGAACTTTGGAATGCATAAATACCCCTCTGATCAGACAAACACAAATCCACCTCGCAATCATACAGCTTATATTAAGTAAGTGGCGAGTGAGTTGGGTTTAACGCCGCTTTTTAACAGTATTCCAGATATATCACGGGGTGTCAGCTTTGTGTGGGAGGAAAGCCCCAAGTGATGCAGGTCTCAGACGTTTACCACTTCGGTGAAACCCACGAGCACGTATGGTGCTGACAAACCTAGAAACATAATCGGGGCGAACCGGGATTCGAACCCACAATCATAGGTTTCTGGCTTGTCCCAAGGGACGCAACTCTGCACAGCGAATTACAGCGCATCATTTTGAATTCTATGCAGAGAACCAAATATGACACTGAATAAGGTTTCGTTCTTTCACTTCCATCTTTGGTGAATAAATAACATGTAGAAACCAATTAATCTTGATGTTAAAAGACATGAGGTCACATATCTGCTGGCAGAGGGGCACAGTGACAAGCCATGGGAATACCTACTACTTGTCTACATGTTCTACCTCCGCACTAGACAGAGGTTGTCAAGCAGGAAAACCAGCAACAAAATTACAAATTGATGTTTATAAAAAAAATTGACAAAAAATAATTTCCAAACTTTTTTTTTTGAAGAGGTTTGGGAAATTCTTATCATTTTTTGTATTCAGTGTAAATTGTTTGATAAACAGTAGTGTTTGGCTGAATTACTTGTAGTTAACAATAACAATATTCTCAATGACATAAGCCCGATTTTATATGGCAATGCAGATGATCTCAATATATGGATGAACATATTTAAAGCAGTACAATATAATAAAGCAGAGGAAAGGATTTGTAGAAGTGGTATTTTCTGATTTTACTCCTGATTTTTCCCTGTTGTACTTGTACATAGCTGTTGAAAATCCTTTCAGAGAGGTCTACTTAGTTGTGATAATCCATTTAATCTTTAAATAAAAATAAGTTCAAACCAAACAAGAATCCTTATGGCTACACATATGATACATGTTCTCCACAGAACAATGTTGTTGTTGTTGATGATGATGATGTTGTTGTTGATAATGATCATGATGATGATGATGGTACTTTCAGACAAGCTGTGTAGGGAGTGGTTTGGGCTCCACTTTATGGTGTCATCATAAATGTTGTTTATCCTTCATAAAAGCTTCATAAAACTCATCAGAATGCTTGAATCTGCAGTTCAGACAAGTGATGTCAGGAATCCACCCACCCAATCCATCTTGTGCCATTCTTTTCCCTTTTGGCCTCGACAAAAGATCAGCCGAATACAAAGAAAACACAAAAGACAGAATTTGATGAATATTTTACTGAGCTACACAACTACATGTACAGTAGCTACAATGTGATGTGTCATGGGAATGCTAAATAAACCATCAATATGATCACGTGGTCCTACTGCCAGTGTCTACAGTGTAGGGCTGTACAGACATACAGACACAAGAGTCTCTAGAATACCGAGTGAGCACTGTCTGTTGAGGCAGCCCAAGGCAGGAGCCTGCTCAGGCTAAGACTGTTGGCGTTATACAAGACAGGCACCATGGGCAGTAGATAGTCATGTTGAACAGCTCACTGCGAACAGACTACACCAGATTGTTTCTGTTTCTAGTTTGCTAAATGTCTATTGCATTATAATTATTGCTAACCTGATCGCAGTAATGGGATGACATGGTATGGTTCATTCAGAATAAGCATCTTCATGTGGCAAGTTGATTTTCACATGGCTGCAGATGTGGCCGATTTGCCAAATATTGCACACAGCTTGACTGAACCTTTTTGAATTGCCTGTAATGCCCAATGAAATCTGCTTCACTGGATAATCGAGACTAGTTATTCTCTGGTGTTATATATTTTCACTTTTAAATGATGTTATGCTTCATTATAATGTAGCACACTTCTTTTTCATTAAAGACTTAACCAAATACCTTAATGTAAGAATTTAAGTCTTCATTGCTACAAGTACCATCAGGAAACCAACCATTGAAGATATATACAATGTTCTGATATACCATGTATCAGAATGTTCTGGTACACAAAGTTATTCAATGTTCTGGCATACAATGTACCTGAATGTTCTGGTATACAAAGTTTTTCAATGTTCTGGTATACAATATAACTGAACGTTCTGGTATACAAAGTTATTCAATGTTCTGCTGTACAATGTTGCTTAATGGTCTAATATATTGTTACCAAATGTTCTGGTATACAATGTAACTCATTGTTCTGGTATACAATGTTACCCAATGTTCTAATTAATTGTTTCTAAATGTTCTGGTGTACAATGTTGCTGAATGTTCTGGTATACAATGTTACTCATTGTTCTGGTATACAATGTTACTCAATGTTCTAATATATTGTTACTAAATGTTCTGGTGGACAATGTTACTAAATGTTCTGGTGTACAATGTTGCTGAATGTTCTGGTATACAATGTTACTCATTGTTCTGGTTTACAATATTACCCAATGTTCTAATTAATTGTTTCTAAATGTTCTGGTGTACAATGTTGCTGAATGTTCTGGTATACAATGTTACTCAAAGTTCTAACATATTGTTACTAAATGTTCTGGTGGACAATGTTACTAAATGTTCTGGTGTACAATGTTGCTGAATGATCTGGTGTACAACATGACCATGTATGTAACCCGGTGTCCCATCCTTTTAAACATATTGCACAAGTGAACTGGTATATGAATTATTCTGTAAAACCACAACAATCATTCTACTATGTTACTACTTGTTCAACATTCCTTGTAAAGTGAGCACACACTACTACCGTGTGTACAACTGTTGAAGTCATCCACAACAAGGTAACACTTCTTCATTGTGTGCACAGCTCTACCTGTGTATTGTGCTACATCTATCTCATGTCTCCAGCTTGTAGTATTGACACTGCTTTAAACATAAAGCAAAACCACACAAAGTAGTTGTTGTTTCTCTAACCATGACAGGTTAAGTACTGTAATCATACAGAGCCCTTAACATGGATGATTACAAAGGATCCATGTAACTTCCTCCCAATTGCAATGTGTCAGGTTCATGTTCAAATTAGACCAGTTGGAGATCTGCATCATGTCTGCAGACAAGTTTGCAGCCAGCATTTTCAAGTTTCAAACAACAGTTGCTGAAGTGAAAACATATATTTCTAAGCAATGAAAAGAACCAACAAAGAAGAAACACTGATATTGCCATTAATTCTTAATTTGCTGTAAAATAATAAAATTAACTTAACAGTACATTTCTGATGATGTAATAGAGGACAAGTGACAGTACATCAGGAGGATATAAACCAACAGTGCTTATATCACTCTGATATCCTGGGATGGAAATTAATCAAGAAAGCCTACTCGCCCGAATAGTGATAACATATAGCAATATCCAATGTTTGAACTTCTAGCCATTAGGATACCTTTACTTTCAACAAAACTGGTCCGGGCTTGTACTAATTTCCATCCCTGAAGTCGTTTCAAAAGTTCTCTATCTCAACCAAATACCACATGATGCATGAATGTAATGCAGTACACATTCCGATCTTCAGAACATTCATATACTGTATTAATATTGCACAAAATCAAACGACAATCTCTTATTGAACAAGAGGTGTTAGCTGAGCTTGAGTAACAGGTTAGAACTACACTCTCAAACCACATGTAAAACACAAGGTTGCTGAAGGTGCTTCTCTGCACTACAGACAAGTCTAAAACAAATCAAGCTAACCAAAACAAGTAACAACAGAAGGATTACTGTATCACAGATATAAGTATAATGCCATGACGTAAGGTGTGAGTGTCTGGGACAGGCAGAAGCAGATCAGAGTCATACAAGGTAAATGCATTGTAAAGACAAATCTGTAAAACAAGGGTAAAGCACAAAACAATTATAAAAATACAAAATGAGATTGATATGATTCATGTATAAGGAGTAACAGAAGCAACTGGCAAGCATATCCATGGATACAATCATCTTAAGACAAACGAAGGCTAATACATCACACTGTATATTGAGATAAAGTATTATTAAGTTGAGGTCTTGACCAATTCTTGTGATGAGTATAGAACCCTGAGTTCAATAAAATATCTTCAAATTTAGTTTTGATACATTTTCCTGAAACCCATAGATGATGCTAGTAAGATTACAAAAGAATAACATAAGCACAAATAAAACATTTCAACAAATACTTCAATGATTGTACTGATCATGCTGATATCCTGGTATACCATACGTAAAAGAGTCCAATAAAATCAATCCGACTAGACTTGAATTCTGTAAGATGTTAGACATTAGGGATGAACCATCAGAGCTTAAAACAGCTTTGAGAACGTGCATCTAAATATTTGTCCATATCGGTCCTGTAATCAGTATTCTGTAACAATGGGATTCCATCAAGATTTGTTTGCTTTAAATTTGTGTACATTTTCTATTCTGCTTATGCCTGTATATATGAATATTTGATTCATAGAAACATATTCAATGGAAAACCTGAAGACATTTTTGTGTCTCAGCTACCATATTTGATATATCAAAAGCACTGGTTTTATTAATAAAATTGAAAAAGACGTTGTTAGAATGCCAACTGCATAAAATGTTCATTTTTCAGCATCTTTCAGACAATTTATCCTCTTTCAAATGTAACAAACAGACCAGCCATGGGCATGTCTCTTACTCCTGTTTATAAGATACAGGTTGTTTAACTGTTTAGTAAAATGCCAATGTAACAGGTTCTGAGATTGCTTACTGAAGCAATGTCCCTTATACACTGATTCATACCTCATTAACTTTCTGGTTATGACGTGTACACTTTCAAGCAGGATATTCCAGAGATATAAACAAAATAAAGCAAGTAGAATATGAGAATGATTATAACACCATACACATGGGATAAAAATAACAAATTGATTGATATATGATAAATAATACTCTATATATGAAATACTGAAGAGGATTGAGATATATTCTAACATGCAATTTATTCTTGCTGTATATGTCGTCATCACAAGCAGCCATTTATAAGTAGCTTTTATTCATTGACAATATTGTGTTCTGATTAAGAAACAGTAAGTATTTAGCTAATTATCTTTGTTTATATTAAGATTAGATTAAAGATCTGTTTGTTGTATTGTTTTTTCCCTATTATTGCGTACTATTTACATACATATTGTACGTGTGTGTATGCTGCTTCATTCTTAGTTTATATACAAGAGATCAAATTATGGTATGTTCTCAAAGTCTTTTTCTTGATTCTAGTTTTGTAGATGTGAGAGTGTAGTGTCCATTTTTAGCAGTTTTGCAGCAAAATCACATCAGGGAATACCAAAAATACCAAACAACCTTGAGGACACTAATCAAACTGGGATCTGCGTAGAGAGTGAAAGCACCAACCATTGAGCTAAAAGTTATATCAATCCAATCAGTAAGATCTAGTATATAGTATTGCATCAGTCATTAAATATATTTTGTTAATGGAATGTCATTTTACCTAAGATGTCAGATCATTGCACCAGTGTCAGAAAAACAAAGTAAACAAACCGGTATACATTAAAAATACTTTCAAAATGACAACAAAAGTGACTGAAAATTAGACACCAAATTACATCTTGATTAAAGCTGATCAGAAAGGTGCATTATCAGAATAAGCCAAACAACATAAAAACAGTTAACTACATCTTTCTAGTGTTTTCTGCAAATGCATTAATGAAAACAGATCATTTGTTCTTGTCTTGCCAGGGTCTTCTCCACAGACACAGATCTAAATGAGAGGAACTGTGCAGGCAGGTAGGTACAAACACTGAGCTGTGCATTGTTCACGATACGTCTGTACAAATTATGGTCTACTTCACACATTTATATTCTACACTTCTCACATTGGGTTAAGTCTCCACATTACTAAGTCAGCTATTCCTACGTATCAAATATTAAGAAAAGTTCTGAAAATTGTAATTCCTGAGTTCTGATAATAACAGCAATGAAACTCTTTCCATAATCATAAGAATTATTAGTCAATCGTACAATTCCTATATCATAAGCATGTGTTTATGAACCACTATCAAATAGTGATGATAACAGGTATTTGTGAAAAGGTGAACATATTCTGCCCCACCAGTGGCACCAGTCACAAACACATGCAAATGCAAGTCAAGTGTTGCAAGGGAATTGCATCAGACATAATTTTTGTCACTGATGCATCAAATTAGGAAATTCCCTCCACATGTCTTCTATGAAAGTTTTTGAAAGCCTTACAAAGCCTTTCTTTGGCCTTATTGACACCTTATCAAGAGTCTGTATCAATATCAATTTCATCATTTCATTATATAAATACATGTATTTAAAAATCAAGGTGGTATAACCGACACCTGTTTTTAATTGATAACATTTTAGTAAGATTATCATAACCTGAAAAGGATATTTATTATATTCTTTGTCTGATTGTTATGAATTATTCATTATAGGAAACAGTAAAACAAATTCAACCTATACCAGGCCATATTTGTTATGGAAACACTGCATGTTCTTGTCATGCAAATCAGCATTCCTATTTCACTTTCTCACAATTTCACATCCAATTTTTCAGAACTTTTCTTGACACACTGACATTACAAAGCTTGTCATCCAGTGCATTGATACAAATCCTTAAACTGTATCAAAGATCTATTGATCAACTACAGTACCTTGTATACTTATCTACATATATACACACACACGTTGTTACAAAATTTGTCCAAATCCATTTCTCTACATATCACATAATTAATAAAATTGCAACAAAAGTCTTACGCAGTGTGTAACGCACACATGCAAATATTCAATGCATTATCTACCTTTTACAATATAGTACAGGATAGTTGTATCTACTTGCATTCTCTACTTCCATGGTTCCGATGCTATTCTGTCTACTGTGTCTATAAATCATACGCTACAGAAGGCCTCAAATTACTCATTTGTCTAACTGGCATTATCTTAACTGATTCAAACATTAACAATAATATGTTTTATACATTAACTTCAAGTCATGTTTGTTTATGACAAGAAAAAAAAACGTTATCAAAGATAAAATCAACAAATACAATCTGTTCTCCAGAACTGCAAATACTTAGTGCAGTTAATGCATATGGCTGCACGGTTCAAGGGAGATAACTCTTATGGCCCTGCAACTAGCAGTCCACTGTAAAATCAATACTTGAGAACTGTAACACTCACAGGGAGAGATCTAATTATCTATTGTCATTGAACATATTTGTACATCAATGAAGTGATTCAAATTTATGTATAAGTGCAGAATACATATTCTAAAATTACATATAAAACAATTATGCGCACAATTTGATATCTATCTCTACACACACTAAGGCTTGTGTTACAGTGAGTCTAAAGGCAGTTTTCAATTATAAATATCTATCACAGAAAGAAAGAATTACTCTGTCCACACTTATCATACAATCCATTAAGCAACAGGTGTAGTAGAAAGAAAACCTTCCTAATTGTCCACTGACATCAAGCACAAAAACTGCCTTGTTAATCACTGCGTAGAAAATGATCAAACTCTATGACTTTGATGATGGTATGTTTTTTTCTAACACTTCCTCTTGGACAAGAATACCACAATATTAATTCTGAAATCCTATATTTCACAACTCAAGGACAGATGCTAATTATCAGGGTTAGTGATATTCCAGGTAGTGTATAATTGACGTTATACATTTGTAGGGAACATAACACATGGAAATGTGTCATTGCCGGTACGGTGGGTATGTCCTGCATATCACTGGGAAAGGAATGTTACAAATGGCTCAGATATGTGAAATTTCATCCCATTTCACTGTCCCAAGGGCACCTAGGTTGATCTCCAGGTCATTCAGCTGACACATCTAATCACTCTCCTTCTCTGACTCGGTTTCATTAAGATGTTCAATCTCAACCTTGTATTCGTATTTGGCTATGTAGCGGACCCACTTCTCTGGTGGGCTGGGATTTGCCACGGAGATGGATCGAACCTGGGCCTTAGACACAGTACATGCTGGCATCGTGAAATCCACATTAGCAAACTGCTCGTAGTGATCAGGAATCTCATCATGAGGTCCGAGGTCCAGCCGAAGCACGAACAAGTGGCTCTTGTAGGCACCTGGAAATACAAGAAGAACAGTTTAACACCAAAAAGATGAGATGCAATTTGGGTAGACATGCTTGAGATCTTAGCACGTACAGTTAAACGTCATTGTGTCCAATTTGTGGGGACCTGAAAAAAGTTTGAGTCCGAGGTTTCAAGACAACCAACAAAGTGAATTTTTGAAAACCAAACATCAGGTTATGTGAGATTTTACCAGGTTCAAACACAACACTATATTTCAAGGCATATGTAAATTTCAGTTCCCAGGCTGCTGGTAGTGGTAGTGAAGGGGGCAGCAGCTATGGCGTAGCATCGATCTCACTGTCCCCATCTGGATCGTTGTTGTTGTCTAAGTCATAGCTCGAATAATAGATTTACTGACGTAATATTAATCCATATTACTCCTTTCCCAATTTTCAGTGTCAATGGCAGTCACATGAGAACACATCATTAACTTGCTGCTGATGTGTATACTATATGTCTCGTGATGTGTAATTGCAAATTTCACCTTTACATTGACAAAGATTGTTATCGTGTTGTTTGTTCACCTGAAGCAATGCAATGTACTTTTTTACGAACAGAAAATTAGTTTAAAGAAAGTGAAACCTTTACATAGGCTAAACCCTTTCTAGTCTTTTTTCTGGTCCTCAAAATTCAGCTTATCTATGGTCATATGTGGTAGGATCAACTGGATATTGGCCTGTTGTTAGGAAGCATCCTGCCTTTGATGTAATCACAGCAGTCACAGTAAGATCAGTTAATTGTGTGTGAAGTGAGTTAATATTGAGCTGAAAGTTGAAAGTTTGGCGAGTATGGGTGTCTGGATGTTATTTTAAACTCACTGGATTGTCTGGTCCAGACTCGATTATTTACAGACATCTGTGATATAGCTGGAATATTGCTGAGTGCAGCATTAAACATCAAACAAACAAACAAACAAACTTGGGACTCCTAGAGAATCTTAACACATCCAAGTTCGACACAACTAGATTCGACTGTACTTGCAAAAACAGAGGCAGCTCTGTCACTACCATTTTCTCAAAGCTTCTATATTCTTAAAATATCACCATGTATTTCTAGACCTTAATCTTAATAAAGAGAACTTCTTAGATCCAACAATTACCAAATCTCAGGATTGCTTAAAACTGCAACAGTAACTGCAACTGTTTCATAATAGCCTCAAAGGTGACCTTCTCCTTATGTTGTAGTATTTGTAAGGAAATATGCACATATAAAGTTGCCTGTAGAGTGTGTGTGTTTGTTGTTTAATGCTGCTCTCAGCAATATTCCAGGTATATGACAGCAGTGTGTAAATATTGGTATACGATGACATGCATCAACCAAGTCAGCGAGCCCGACCACCCGATCCCATTAGTCGCATCTTACAACAAGCATAGTCGCCTTTTACGGCAAGCATGGGTTCCTGAAGACCTATTCTACCCCAGATCTCCAACTATATGACCACCTGTACCCCGTCCTTCCCAACCAGGATAGGTTGCTGGGGGCCAATTCTAACCCAGAATCCACATGAGGCCATGCCTGTAGAGGGAACCATGCCTTAGATGCTTACAATAACATAACCATGTTTTACAAAAACCCTGAATGCGAAATTGATTTTTGCATAGTGTTTTACCAAACCCTTTTCAGAGCATGGCTGCATCCCAGAGAACGTACATAGAAGTGCATTGATAAATGCATAAACATATTCTTTGAAAGCGTAACCATGATGATTTGAGTGAGATTAGTTTCTCTTGACCATGACCTCATGATATGTGCCAAATGAATTCCTCAGGTCATGTGGAATAAGTCCTTTGTAGGTAGTCCTCTAATAATCTTTGCAAAGTATTCAAAAGAAAGTATGATACAACTCTTCTGAGATTTACCTCAAAGGTGAGCTTGAGCTTTGACATTAATTTGGAAGCCGTGGGATTGGTTTAGAAACATGTAAGTATCCTTGTAACCATGTCATGTGATATAACAATATTTTACAAAAATATCTAAGGAACTTGCAGGAACCACTTTCACCTGACCTTGACCAAAACGGCAGATGCGCACAGAGTAGGTGACTGCTATCACCTGGCTTGACCAAACGGTAGATACACAGACCTTGATCTTCGATTAATCTAAATCCCAACCTTATCAATGCAGTGCCCCAATGATAAAAGCAATAACTGTGTTCTATCCAGAGACCTTGACCATTGACCTTTTCAAGATATGAGAAATGAATTCCCCAGGGCCGCATTGGAAGAAGTCCACGGAAGATTAATCTTTCTAATGTCAATAATCTGTGTGCAGTAGACCAAAAAATCACCACCAGCGGTGGCGGGATAGTCAAATTTCTACAAAATTTTAAAGCAGTCTTGATTCACAGGGGTGTGAATAATGAAATACTAACCTGCGTTATTTTCAATTATTAAAATATCTAAACTTACATACAGTATATTGTATTAAGTAGACAGTTAAAGTTTAGTTTTATGTTTTGAGCAGTGAACAATATATCACATGCTTGCGGACAAGAAAATATAAAGAGATTTATCATCTTATGCTATCTTGTTCCTGTCTCAAACACAAATACATCAGCTTCATATTTCTGCTGAACGATGCAGACGTACCTCTTACCTATGCTGCTTGTTCGTCATGACCTCAACCTATATTATGCTGCATACATACATTCAAACATGAAGTCATCCATCATTCATCAGGTTATTACCATTTGTTTCTTTACATGATTATAGAAGACTGCCTTCTGACACAAAAAGTTAACAGACAACATATTCAATCTTTTCTTCCACCTAACAGTCAATCCTCCCCCTGTACAGTCTACATCCCTCTCTCTCCACCATCAACTCCTCCCCCTGTACAGTTTACATCCTTCTCTCTCCACCATCAACTCCTCCCATTGTACAGTTTACATCCTTCTCTCTCCACCATCAACTCCTCCCCCTGTACAGTTTACATCCTTCTCTCTCCACCATCAACTCCTCCCCCTGTACAGTCTACATCCCTCTCTCTCAAGCATCAACTCCTCCCCCTGTACAGTTTACATCCCTCTCTCTCAAGCATCAACTCCTCCCCCTGTACAGTTTACATCCTTCTCTCTCCACCATCAACTCCTCCCCCTGTACAGTTTACATCCCTCTCTCTCCACCATCAACTCCTCCCCCTGTACAGTCTACATCCCTCTCTCTCAAGCATCAACTCCTCCCCCTGTACAGTTTACATCCTTCTCTCTCCACCATCAACTCCTCCCCCTGTACAGTTTACATCCCTCTCTCTCTCCACCATCAACTCCTCCCCCTGTACAGTTTACATCCCTCTCTCTCAAGCATCAACTCCTCCCCCTGTACAGTTTACATCCTTCTCTCTCCACCATCAACTCCTCCCCCTGTACAGTTTACATCCCTCTCTCTCCACCATCAACTCCTCCCCCTGTACAGTCTACATCCCTCTCTCTCAAGCATCAACTCCTCCCCCTGTACAGTTTACATCCTTCTCTCTCCAGCATCAACTCCTCCCCCTGTACAGTTTACATCCCTCTCTCTCTCCACCATCAACTCCTCCCCCTGTACAGTTTACATCCCTCTCTCTCAAGCATCAACTCCTCCCCCTGTACAGTTTACATCCTTCTCTCTCCACCATCAACTCCTCCCCCTGTACAGTTTACATCCCTCTCTCTCCACCATCAACTCCTCCCCCTGTACAGTTTACATCCTTCTCTCTCCAGCATCAACTCCTCCCCCTGTACAGTTTACATCCTTCTCTCTCCACCATCAACTCCTCCCCCTGTACAGTCTACATCCCTCTCTCTCAAGCATCAACTCCTCCCCCTGTACAGTCTACATCCCTCTCTCTCAAGCATCAACTCCTCCCCCTGTACAGTTTACATCCCTCTCTCTCCACCATCAACTCCTCCCCCTGTACAGTCTACATCCCTCTCTCTCAAGCATCAACTCCTCCCCCTGTACAGTTTACATCCTTCTCTCTCCAGCATCAACTCCTCCCCCTGTACAGTTTACATCCTTCTCTCTCCAGCATCAACTCCTCCCCCTGTACAGTTTACATCCTTCTCTCTCCACCATCAACTCCTCCCCCTGAACAGTCTACATCCCTCTCTCTCCACCATCAACTCCTCCCCCTGTACAGTCTACATCTCTCTCTCTCCACCATCAACTCCTCCCCCTGTACAGTCTACATCTCTCTCTCTCCACCATCAACTCCTCCCACTGTACAGCCTACATCCCTCTCTCCAGCATCAACTCCTCCTCCTGTACAGCCTACATCCCCCTCTCTCCACCATCAACTCCTCCCCCTGTAAAACCTGTGTTCCTCAACTCCTCCCCTTGTACAACCCGTGTTCCTAAACTCCTCCCCTTGTACAACCTGTGTTCCTCAACTCCTCCCCCTGTACAACCCGTGTTCCCCAACTCCTCCCCTTGTACAGCCTGTGTTCCTCAACTCCTACCCCTGTACAGCCTGTTCCCCAACTCCTCCCCCGTACAACCTGTGTTTCTCAACTCCTCCCCCTGTACAACCTGTGTTCCTCAACTCCTCCCCTGTACAGCCTGTGTTCCGCATCTCCTCCCCTGTACAGCCTGTGTTCCGCATCTCCTCCCCTGTACAGCCTGTGTTCCGCATCTCCTCCCCTGTACAGCCTGTGTTCCTCAACTCCTCCCCTGTACAGCCTGTGTTCCCCAACTCCTCCCCTGTACAGCCTGTGTTCCGCATCTCCTCCCCTGTACAACCTGTGTTCCTCAACTCCTCCCCTGTACAGCCTGTGTTCCTCAACTCCTCCCCTGTACAACCTGTGTTCCTCAACTCCTCCCCCTGTACAACCTGTGTTCCTCAACTCCTCCCCTGTACAACCTGTGTTCCTCAACTCCTCCCTTGTACAACCTGTGTTCCTCAACTCCTACCCCTGTACAGCCTGTTCCCCAACTCCTCCCCCGTACAACCTGTGTTTCTCAACTCCTCCTCCGTACAACCTGTGTTCCTCAACTCCTCCCCTGTACAACCTG